GTTTTAAAGGGATAGTTCACCCAAAAATGAACATTTGATGTTTATCTGCTTACCCCCAGGGCATCCAAGATGTAGGTGACTTTGTTTCTTCAGTAGAACACATTTGATGATTTTTAACTCAAACCGTTGCAGTCTATCAGTCTTATAATGCATGGCAATGGTAACAAAATCTATGAGAGTAAAAAAAACATGCACAGACAAATCCAAATTAAACTCTGCGGCTCGTGACGACACATTGATGTCCTAAGACACGAAACGATCGGTTTGTGCCAGAAACCGAACAATATTTATATAATTTTTTTACCTCTAATACACCACTATGTCCAACTGCTTTGAGCGTGCACGGCATCCGGTGCGTGAGGTGTGTATGCGCTCTGGTGTAGTTTACGCAAGCGCCGGAAGTGTTCTCTCGCGCGTATACGTCACTCATTGTTTACACAGTGCACAGTCATTGTAGGTACGACGGCTAATCAAAATGGTACTTACTTGCGCTTATCCGGATTGTTCAAACTGACTTAAAACTAAAAGATTACGTTCTCTCGCGCGAACTCATTCGTGAGTGGTGACTTTCCACGTATTCCCAACTTCTGAGCCTGCTCGCCTGAAGTTATGGTTGATTGCTCTTCGGCTGGATATCAACACACCCATTAACGTAAACTACGCCAGAGCGCGTACACACCTTCACGCACCAGATGCCGTGCGCGCGCTGAAGGCAGTTGGACATAGTGTTGTATTAGAGGTAAAAATTATATAAATACTGTTCGGTTTCTCGCACAAACCGATCGTTTCTTGTCTTAGGACATCAATGTGTCGTCACGAGCTGCAGGGTTTAATTTGGATTTGTCTGTGCATGTTTTTTTTACTCTCATAGATTTTGTTACCATTGCCATGCATTATACGACTGATAGACTGCAACGGCTGGAGTTAAAAATCATCATATGTGTTCTACTGAAGAAACAAAGTCACCTACATCTTGGATGCCCTGGGGGTAAGCAGATAAACATCAAATTTTCATTTTTGGGTGAACGATCCCTTTAAATGGATCTATTCAAAGAATCCTGAAAAAAATGCATCACAGTTTACACACAAAAAATATTAAGCATTACAATTGTTTTAAACATTGAAAATAAATAAATAAATAAATATTATTGAACACTAAATCAGCATATTATAATCATTTCTGAAGGCTGTGGGTATGTGAATGAATATTGGAGTAATGGCTGTTGATAATTCAGCTTTGTCATAGCAGGAATAAATTACTTTTTAAAATATATTAAAATAGAAAACATTATTTTAAATTGTAGTAATAGTTCAATATGTAATAATATTTCAACAATAAATACAATATGAAAGAAAAACAGTAATTATCTAGAAAACTGGCAGCACTTACTCTTCTCTCACGAGCTCTTGACTTGAGAGGCTTAACAAACGCAGTGTTGTCCAAGTCCTAGAAATCATACCAGCGAAAATAATTTTCAGAAACAATTGTTTTGATCTTTTCAGGTGATTTTTATGCACACGGCTTTTTCTTGGGTCTGACAATAATCCTACAGCATGAATAAAAATGATACTAAATATGATACTCCACCAAATCATCATCCGTTCTGTCATAACTAATGTCAGAGTGTGACAGAAAGGAGGACTCATCAATCACTGATAACCTGATATAAAAGACACAAGATGGAAAACAGCATTGGGAAAGGGGAAAAACTCCAAACTGAGAACTATATAAAGTCCATGCCGATCGCTGAGGTACCGTTTTCCTCTGTGCTGTGGGACACTGGCTCCTTTGTGACTGAAGCTGGTCAGCATTGACCTCTGCTCATCATTGAGACAAGCACTTGACTTGCTGTCATGCACCAGTACGTCACATATCAACTGCATCTGCCGCTCCTGTCAAATGAATTAATGAGCGAAAAAGATACAATAAGTATCCTTAATAAACTCGCACAACAATGGGCAATAAATCACAGAGAACTTCTGTTTTATGAACTCTCTATGCACATTAGCACATGAGTCATGACCGCCCACATCCACATGGCCCTGTACTCAATGACACCTTCCACCAAGTCTATGTTAGTCATGTTATGTCGCACTGACCAAACTGGCAAAGTTTCCCTTGTTGGCTTCAACTTCAACATTTACATACAAGTCTAAAGGTGCAGTAGCTAAACATAATGTGGTACAAACACAAATCTAGCTTCTTTACATTACTGCACAAGTGATAAGATATATTGTTTCAATTCTTAACTAACCAGGCACTGGTAGTCGGCTTCAGCTTTGTAGCGTTTCTTGATCTCCACGTCCAACTGGTTCCGAGCATGTTTGAGTTTGACCTCCAGAGCAGCTCGAGCTACATCAGATTTTACCAGGAGCTCCTTCTGTTTTTTCAGCTCCAGCTCTGCATGAAGCCATTTCTTCCGAGCAGCTTCAAAGTTCCTCACCACCTCAATGAACTCTTGTAGATAAAAGACAACTGGTGAGATTTCAATATGGCAAAATATATATATATATATATACAGATCAAAGAACGACTATCAAGACAAAACATGCTTTCTGAAAGCAGTAGTTTTTTATAATTCCAGCACAAAGATATGAAGCTGTTACAGTTCAACAATAAGAAATTGGTAATTTGTGGTAATCAAATAACCACTTGCGCATTTTTCCTCAGAAGTAAAAATGTGTACAAAAAAAAGTATTCCTGTCTTTTAAAAGCTCTGTTGAAACAATACACTCTACACTTTTCAGATGTCTAAATTATCCCTTATGTTACACAGAAATTGACTTGACTTCCCTTCTTTTCAACGTCCATATACAAATAACAGTCATTTCAAATGATTTTATTTTACCTTCAATGATTTTAATATAGTCCTGCATTGGACTGAACATCCACCCATCAAGAAATATTATTAAAGCATCTGTTTTTTATCATAGAGTGGGCATACAGTTTTCACGGGGTGATTACTATCCAGAATAGTAATGTTGTTTTGGGTTTGGGTCAAGAAAGATGGAGACTAATTTCACCTCAGCAAAAGTACATTTTGTTTCGGGGTTTTAAAGAACACAAGAGAAAAAACCTGGATAAGTTGGTATTTAAACTCCTTGCTCAGTGCAACATACAAACCAGTGCTACAGCAAATAGAAAACAGCATGCCAAAACTCCACATACAATACATCTTAAAAAACAGCCATCTGCACACAACACAACATGGTGGAGACCCATTATGTTTAGAAAAAAATTAAGTAAAATAATAATAATAAGAAGAAAATAACAAATAACGAGTGTTTTTTTTTTTTTTGGAGCTCAGGGTCAGAGATATACTAAATTTACATTTAAAAAAATAAAATAACAGGTCCTGTAATATCTTACCGAGCTCAGAGTTAGACGCTTCTTCAATAGCAAGCCTTTGCAGACACAGACTGAGGACTTCTCGTATAAACTGATCCCCCATGGTCGCGTCAGCAGGTGATCCGAGGATCCGCATCAAACTCAAACAAGCCGCTTTAAATGCGTCACGTGAGTGTAATGTGGCGGGTCACATGGATTTCAGGCGGTTCTGGAACTTGTGTTTGGACGGAATATGGTCCCAGATGTGCAGCAACAATCGAAAAAAGTTTTTTTCGAAGCAGAGGTAAGAGCTTTCAATTCACTGAAGGTGTTTTGAAAATGTCATTACATCTGCCATAAGTATTTGGCGTCGCACCTGCTAATACTGTTATATGTATTATTTATTTATTATTATTTTTAATACAGTTAATATCAGGGCTAGTTTCAGTACAGACCAATAGCCTACCCTGAACTACATGGTAATCTTGACTAGCCTACATGATTTGAGTAAATGGCACTGTGGAAAATGGTGTTTGTTTGTTTATTACTTTAGATAACCTTAGTCATTTCAGTTTAAGTAATTTGATTTAGTTAAAATCAAATCTTCATCTAAAGTAAACAACTACAACAACAAAAAAATGTCATGGCATCTTTATATAATAAAGTTAATATTATCATCTTTGGTCTACATGCCAGTTAATAATACAAAATGAAAATAAAGTAATTTTACAGATTTTGTTTAAATACCTAATTTAAGATAAATTTGGAAAAAAAAAAACGTGTTTGAAATAAGAGTAGATACTCTTATCTCACCCAAAACCAAACCCGTCTCCAGTTCATTCAAGATTTCTCTCGGCCCTGATCCGTTGTAGTCAGTAGAGGGCAGTCGAGGCATTTTGTGTTGAGCAAGGATTGTTGTACCTTCACTGTATGGGGCTGTGTGAGTTTGCCAGTGATTAGGGTGGTGTTTGAGCAAAGCTTTGTTGTGTTTGCTTGACTCAACGCTGTTCACAAGAAAATAAGCTTCTCTGTGTTATCATGCTCTGAGTCTCCACTGCAAATGCTCCATTACACAAATAATGGGTTCTGCTGCTACTGGAGTCACTTTAATTTAGCACCCAAAAATCTTATTACAGTCATTTTTAACATGGCTTCTTTGAGCATAGGAGATCAAGAGCGGCAGCGTTTGGAGAGACTGAATTCAATTTTGTTGGAAATAAAAGACTTGCAACACCAGGTCTTTCTCATTGTTGGAAGTTTAACTGGCTTGCGAGTCCTTGGTCACTGCATGTGAAATATTGCATTTGAATTTTAGTGCTATCTTTAGTGCTGTCATGGGTTTCAAATGTCGTCCTTTGCATAGCAATAGATGCAGTGGTGCTGCTCGGTCCTGATGGTAAACATTTCAGTTTAGCAGTGTTGCAATGGACCAGATCGATCTGTTTTCGTATTCTTATTATTATCATCTAATATTTAATTTGTTTAAATTGTAATGATTTTATGATAAACCTGTGGCTCTACTTCTAATCATACTTAAACCAATATTGTTTTGGTTATTAATTTTGCATGAGCTGTACCAGTATAGTTTTTTTTCTTGTTACATTGTATAAATTTAGGGTTAATATTAAGGGGTTATATAAAATAAAGGATAATATTTACATTTCAACACCATATATTTAAATTTTCTACTAAAAGGGGCAAAGGCGCCTCATATTGGCCTATATTCACTCTTTGCCTTTGCAACCCACTGTTTGCAATGAGTTTAGAAATGGAGTTTTCCTCCCTAAATTAAAGCCCCTTCTTACGGCGACATTGATAAAAATGTAATTGTGATCGCGTGTGCTGCGTGGAATGCAAAATCTGTTTTTCTCTGAGGCAGCTGGGATATTTGCATTGTTTAGAACCCACAAAATAATCAGTTTCTGATGGCAAATGCACATTTGCTTTTGCAAGCGAGTGTTGCGTTAATCTTGGGAAAACATGCATTTATAAAAGAACCTAATTTGTTTCATAAATAGACATGGCATGCAGTTTTTCTCTGATTAATATATTTATCTGACATCATTATATAAAATATAAGATATCCTGAACATTTTTAAAACATTGCTTATTTTTTGTGAATATTTTATTACAGATTAGTTTGTAATTAACGTTTAGTCGTGAATTAATCACCCCAGAGTATAATTTATAAACCAAAATCTTTTAAATACACTTTATCCTTGTACTCCTCTCTTTTTTTCCTGAAAGATGTAGGCTAAGTTATGTTAATTCGACTGGGACTCTACAGCATAAAACAAATAGATTTCAGAAGCTCTGTACATAAACATTAAAAAAGCTATTTATTGTCTGTTGCTTAATATTAATGTTTGCTTTACAGTGCATTGGCTCATTAGGAAACTTATTGCCTTTGGCTGAGTATATACACAGCTCAGCAGATGAGATGCTAATCTGAGGACCAGAGATGAATGTGTTTGATACTAGTCCCTATTTAGTCAACACGGTTTTACTGAACGAGCCATTTGTCTCTCTAAGTATTTACCCAAAACCCAGAGAAGCATTCATTCTGAGATCAAGTCTCGATCTGTTCATCCTTTTTATGTGAGATCTGCTGTCCGTGAATATAAAAGTGAAGATGAAGGATGTGCGGTGCTTCGTGCTTGTATAAGCACAGACTGTCACATAAAAGCTGTTGGGACGTTGTAGTCCTCCCCTAAGCTTGCAGGGTCAAATTTGATCTGCTTCATGTCCTGAACCCAGTAATTCCTTCCTAACTGGCCTGTGTAGTAAAAGAGAAAGCAACCGAAAGCAAAAGCCCAGCACAAGCAAATGAAAACAGTCTACATGTATTCAGATCCTGACTTGAGCTTTGACCTCTTTGTGCCAGAATGCAGTGATGTATTCGGAAGTGGTCTCAGTAATGAGCTTTCAGCCTGTAGACTGTTTTTCAGTTCAGTGAATCCAAACTTTCAGTCTGGTACCCCTGACCACCTCGTCTCTCTCACCACAGCACTCATGGTTCATTTAAACAAGTGTGACTTCAAGTCAAAAGCATACTAGAAATAAATATGAATGCAGAGCTGGGACTCCCCTGTGCTCTGTGTTACTATACCAGTCATGAGCAAACCATAACAGGACCAAAATATAAAATAAAAATAAAAAAGAATAAAATGAGTATGCTGTTCTCTTATGGTTTGATTATTAAATTAATAAAATAAATATGATATGTATTTATTTGTTTGTTTGCTTTGGCTAATAATACAAGGACATAATCTATTTTTAGCAGGACAACAGGACAAGACTGAATAAAAAAGAATAAAATGAGTATGCTGTTCTCTTATGGTTTGATTATTAAATTAATAAAATAAATATGATATGTATTTATTTGTTTGTTTGCTTTGGCTAATAATACAAGGACATAATCTATTTTTAGCAGGCC